CCAGGTTTTTTTTATATACGTGCGTGAGTGGCACCATTAGCCGTTTTGCAGAGGGATGCATTTTCAAAATGGCAACTTTTCCGGGCAGGGAAATTTCCTTCATTTAGGGGTGGTCTGTTTTTGGTGAGAATTTCTCAAAAATTCATTGATCAACCCACTAAAAATTGAAAGGAATATGAAATAGGAAATGACGAACATTATTTTCTTTGCAGCCTGAACACTGGGAGTTGTATTTTAATAACAATTTTGAAGTATAGGGATTTTCAGTGTTGTCTATGGTAATTTATTTACAGGTGCATAAATTACCGTAACGATTTACAGCCATCGGTAGCTGTAAAGCCCCATGGTCCTGACCCGCCCCGCCCTTAGGAGTGCATTTCACCAAATCGTATTTCTGCACGCGAGCGCATTAATGTTTTGTGATATTTTTTTTCAAGACATGCCATAATCAGGAGGGAGCCTAGAAATATTTCTACAAATCCCGAATTTGGGACTGAAGGTTGAGGGTATTTCACAAAACGCCCAAAATTGCGGGCCTATTTCGGACAGGCGGGCGGCTACATTCAGAGCTGAGCGCATAGTTTTACTACTATTTGGGGGTATCTTCGGGGAAAAGCGAATAAAAAGTTTTTTTCGTGGCTAACCCCCATATAATTAAAAAAAAAAAGGTGATCTGCTTGCCATAATCTTGAATTTTACGTGAAAAAAAACGGAGGCCAGCCTCTTCCCGAGAGTCAACGGGCGGCGCTATTTCACGTATTTCGGCCGATTTTGCACTGTTTTCTATAGGCAAATATATTAGGTGTAGTGCAACCCCAGGCTTGCAAATAGATTATGTTCTTGAAGTGAGCCCTCAATGTTGCCATAACAGTGTGGCCTAAAGGGGTTTTCTAAATGTTGGCTTTGCGTGGCGGCTGTGCCTCATTTTTATGCTTCTGGCTTCGATGGTGTGGCCTAATAAAGAGTTCTGCCTTACTATATTAGCATTATAATGTATGCTCTTGACTACAGGATAGAATTGTTTTAACTTGATTCCAAATTTAGGGTTGTGCAGGTGGTTTCGAGATCAACGACAAATCCTTTTATGGAATGAAGCGTTGATTTGGAAATCCCTTAGTATCGTGATGCGCGTCGACGTCGCACGCGCGAACGAACGTACACATTATACATACCGTTACGGTGCCTGTACGTTGGTAAACGGCCATCGCCAGTATATGTACATGTACAGTGCACTCAACACATGCACGGCACACGTATACGCGTTGAATATAAATGAATTGCATTCAAGCGCGCGAAACAACCCAGTGTCCTTGAAATTGAAAACATGAAATTCCTCGGAATAGTCCCAAAATCTCGTCGATTCAGCTTCAGCTCATAGGAACAGCTAGTCAAATATATGGACCGTCGATGGAGTGAAACGGAAATACCATTGTGAACTGTTGTCCGAAGGAATTATACCATTTATCATGGCTGGTTCGTCATCCACTATGTCGAAAGTGAAGGTTGCCGTGCGAGTCCGTCCCGTCAACCGACGAGGTGGGTGCGGGTAGGCCGGGCAGTGGGGGAATTTCACGGCGGGCCTTTTGGGACTGACCTGGTGGTCAGTGGTTGTTGTCTTTGTGATTTTGCGACCCCTCTGATTACGTTTGCTTTTTGAAAATTTGCTTGAATATTTGTGCTGTCAGGCTCTACTCTATTCTGGAAAGAAATTTGTATTCAGCCGTGGCTATTCTCGTGGTCGAACTTCACTCACTCGAAGGTTGTTCATTTATTGCACTCACGTCTGGGCAAAGGGGAAACTTTCCATTTACTTTGTACAGGGATTGGCATGTTTTCCTCTTTTTTGCTGCAACGTGATAAAAATAACAAACCTTTTCAGTACAGTGTGGGAAATACATGTAGGCCTGTTTCATGACTGCATTACCAGTACAGTAGACCCATAACGTTATCAATATTGGTTGTCATGGTTGTTAAAACAAATTTGTATTTGTTTTTTTGTAGTCCCAAGGTTTGTTAAAATATAGTAAATTTCAGGACTACGTGTAGTACTAGTAATTTGGTATTTAAAAAAACCAAGGTCATTCTGGAACAAAGCATGTGCATGAGTCCACAAACAAAAGTGTTGCGCTGGGAAAGAGTTCCATATCCACCCTGAGCTGAAGTGCACCCTCACTGGTGAAGGAAAGACAGATGGTACTAAGTTTTCCAACCAAGTTCTTGCATGCGTTCGGCGTGCACGCAAAGACCATAATATATGCCATACTAAATTTGTTTCCCGTAGTCAAATGACTCGGCCTGCTCTGCGTCAAACATATAAACTTGTACGCCTATATGGTGAGTGCGTACTATTAAATGACTGTCAATTTCATTTCAAACACACCTTCTTTTGTTCCTGCTTGGAGCAGATACGGTCAGCAATCGATGCCCCTGTGCACAAACCTATGAGACCTAAGTGTTTTCTCAGTGAGTGCTGTGGAATTTCCCTTGCTACTGCACATGTACATGTAAATTTCACTGTTAGGGACATGTTATCACTTTCTGATGGCTTTTGTAACAATTTAAGGGAAAATTAGTGTCTGTATATGGAACTCTTTCCTTGCACTGATTGAGCAGACCTCGCAGGTGCATCCAAATGACCTCCGATGCAGGGGCATATCCAGCTTTTGGTGTGGGGGGGGGAAGGAATTCAAAATCGAATGCCGCCTCAGACTTACTCAACATGATGGTGGGGGGAAACAAAATGAAAAGCCCTACTCATGGTCCTGACATCCTTTTAAAGAAAAATTCATGGTGTTGTTTCGCGGGGATTTGGTGCAAATATTTGATAAATGAATTATCCAAGTACTTTCTTTCCTACTCACCTCTGAAGTTTTAAAAAAAACATGGAAAAAAAATCCATAGGGGGAGGTTGCCCCCTCCCCCCGTCTCCCTGTTGAATACACCGCTGCTCGGATGTGCTCATTTTGGGCATGCACTGTTTGAATACTGAACTACCGGTAGCTTATTGTTTCTTCTTATTTCTACCCCACATAATTTGCACTGACTTCTTATGATGCCCAAGGTACCGGCATTTGATGAAGAAAGTGCACTAAGGATACTGCATGCTTCTGTTTTTTTTCCCCCAGTATTTTTTGCAGAAATAGGCCCCATGATGTAGTTTGAAGAAACACATAATTTTCCCCTTTCTTCCTTTGCCTCATAGAAATAGACTTGGGAACAAAATGTTGCGTGGATATGGATGAACAACAGACAATTTTGCTGCCGATATCTTCAAAGGCATCAGACAGGTAAATTTACTCAGACTGTACCATGAGTCATCAACATCTGTTTGCCTCAGTACATATGCCCGCAGGGTGGTAACCTGTACAGTCATATTTGATATTAATTTTGACTTTTTGTTTTTGCCCCCTTTTCTTGTTTGTGTGTAATGAGTGAGTCATGTTTTAGAGATTAATTTGCATTCACCTTCGGACTGGAAAATATTTGGTTATGCCCGACTGACCATTCAATTCAGACGGAATGCCTGGAAAAGTGCAGGTATGAAAGGCCGTTCACAGCTGAGTGGGGCTTACAGTCGTCGTTTGTGTTTTGTTCAGAATCAAGAGGGCAAAAGCAGTAAACCTGAACTCTTGTTTGAAAAAGAAGTCCTAATGTGGAGGAACACTAATATTAAGTGACAAGTTTGACAAGTCCAGTGTGTGACAGAGATTGACAGAGACGGGGATCTCATGTGCAGAAAATATTCCAACCTGAAACAGGTTGTGTTTTCTCACTTTATAGACAAAAAAATTGCCTGCCAAGTTTTCATGAGGCAAATACATGTACGTGTTTGAGATCGCAATTCAGTCTGTAAATTTTCATCAACATTCTGCAAGTTAGATTGAAGCCAGGGAATTTCAACTTTAGTGTGAAGCCCAAGACGAGACTGGTAATGTCCTGATCCTTTGAAAAGATAGTGAATTCAGAAGTCTGGTGGCACAACTGCATGTATGGTATAAAGAGAGGATATTGATATAGAGACAAGGAACCAGATGTTACAAAAAATACACATACACTGTATTTGATCGCTGCATTAAAGAGCATTCGACTGGTTTTTCTTGCATTATTCTATTTTCTGGTATGCCATGTTTCCGCTCTTAATTTTTTGACTGTAGTACATACACGTGCATACATGTACATGTACGTGTACCTGTATGTACATGTATATACAATTTTCCATATTTATTTGAATTGTTTTGCTTTCATTTAAAAATTCCAGTGTAAAATGTTTGCTTCTACATGTGTGAATGCTGTTGATTTAGAATTTCCTCTTGATTTGTGATAATGAAATTTACCTGTTTGTCCCTTGTCTTACTATGTATGTCTTCATGTCTCTTGTTTTATGTCTCTTAATTTATTTCTCTTGTAAAATCAATGATGACATGTCAGCAATATACATGTACATGTACATATAGGCCTATTAGTAGTAGCTTCGAGATCAGGATGTGTAATATGCTTCAGTCTTTTTAAAAGCTTTATCAGTTTGATCAGCTCACAGATCAGAACATCATTTATCAAAATAGCCTTGGATGTATTGACCCCTTAAAATTCCTGTATACACCAGTTTATACATTGTCAAATACTTTGCATATTTTATCGATAATAGGATTATTAAAAACAGGCAGAAACAGGTTGATGCTGCTATTGTTTGTGTATCAGGATGCAATAAACGTGTATCCCGTTCACTGGACATCTGGTGCCATTGCTTAGCAGTCCACATTCAGTATCCCAAACTGACCATTGAGTGTTCAAGGTCATCAAGATGGTTCTTCAGTCACACTGAATACAAAAATACAAAGTACAAATAGTAACTGACCAGTGTATAATTTTTACTCGTACAGGACCGTTAAAAAAACAATTATTGCACACCAGAAATGAGAATCGCCACTCCTGGCTGTAATATACAGTAGATATTACGTGGTAAAACTAAAACTGTAAACATGATACCTGTAGTTTTAATTTCAAGCAAGTCGTTCTCAAATGGAAAGTAAAGCATAATTTTCATGTAGGAAATGCAGCAGAATGCATTTTAAACCTCTTGACAGTTAAAAACCTGTTAAAAACAAATTGATTGCCTTTTACATGTAAGTTCGTGCACCCCTTTTAGATGAGTTTGTAAACTTGAAATATAAGCCCAAGGAATGGGAGGGGGTCTTTTCAATACACCAAACAAAACAACATAGAAGCCAATAAAAATATATGTACATGTACCGGTAACTTGAACCCATCTCAAAAACTTGTTGAGTGATTGGGTAATCAGGCCCTTGAAGTTAAGTGTTTGAGGGCAAAGGTCCCCTTGTGGCTTGTTTATGAAAGTTTGGACCTTGCAGTGTGGCAAGTACATACATGTACATGTACATGTACATGTACTTGGCTCAAACCTCCTCCCCATGATAAGGTAGGGTTACCAGTATGACCTTTTTCAAGTTTTCCCCTTGCAATATTGATGTCAATTTGCCTGGTTGCATCTTCATCTTCCCCTCAGTTAAAGAGCACCTCTAAGGAAAACACGTTTTCTCTGATTTTATCCGTTCAAATAAGTATGGAAGCATCCAAACTGAATGCAGTGTCATTTGTCTTAAGAGCTCTACTGTAACAAGCTATTAAAAGGGCTTTTTTCTGTTCATGCCAAGATGCAAGTTCTGAATGTTCTGGTAGATTACGTCATTCTGAGAAAATGAGGGGAACCTCGAAAACAGAGAAAACGAGGGGAACTCTCGCCCTGTGTTCATAGTGGATAAACCCGTTGTGCATGTTTGTAGCCATTGTTTGACATAAATCAACTACGAACACAGGGTAAGAGTTCCCCTCGTTTTCTCAGTTTTCTCCAAATGACGCAATCTACATTCAGAATTCGCATTTTGGCGTGAACAGAAAAACAGCCTTTTTAAGCTTGTTACAGTTGAACTGCATTCGATTTGGATGCTTCCGTTGAACAGATAAAAGCAGAGAAAACGTGTTTTCCTTAGAGGTGCTCTTTGGTAAATTGAATCCATGATAGATTTTAATGAGATATTTTGAGTTAGGTGGCCATATCCAAATGGGAATTGTTGGGCCCAAACCAAGACTGCCAGAGTGTACACAGTTTATAAAGTACAATGTGTGCCAGCTTCAGGAAGGAAGAGGCTGTTTCCTAGTATTTGGTTGCTGAGTTGAACCCTGGGAAACTGTACCGGTACCTGTTGCCCATACCAGTATCACAGGCAGTAAAAGTGTACAGGTACATACCGGTACATGTACATGTACTTTGCTTTATGTTGCATGCAAGACAAAACAAGGCCGATGTAATGTACATACCGGTACTTGGAACAGATTTGAATGGTAGTTTGTGGCATTGGGGCATGTGAATTTGCAAATGTTGAACACAGAAGGGAGAATGATGGCATGACAGACATACATGTACCTGTAATATTGTGCAATGTACAGGCAGGACTGTTCTCCTTATTTGTCTTGGCAAAACTGGACGATGGTGTGCACATGACAGCCCATTCTGTGTCATCAATAATCATAGCGGCTGAGCACAGTTTGTGTAAATTTTTAACCCTCCCGGGAAAAAATAACAAATTTCGCCATTTTGACATCACATGCAAAGTGGTAGCATCGGAAGTCGTTTGAAATCAAGCAAACTTAAAAACAGGATATTGGGGTATGTTCGGAATAGTGGTTCAAATTTAACCCGAGACCAGAAATCATGTTTAACTAAACGCACACTAAAATTATACATGTACACATGTACATACATTGTACACATGTCCACTACATACAGTGTACATCATTTGGATGTTACATGTACATGTACCGGTAAGAACATTTACATGTACATGTAGGCCCATAAGATTGTAAGCACTTTGGTGCCTGGAAGATGACATTCTCCCTCTCTTTGATTAATGACTTGCCGTGGTAATGATGGGAGCAATTAATCACATTTTCCGCTCCGGTTGTCGTGATGCTCTGAATGATGTTAATTGGTCTTGCTTGGCATACACCCAACATTCTTCATGTATTGCATGCTGGCAATGATGTTGTAGACAAATATCATCTGAGCCATTCTCCCTTGACAAAATTAATGAACTCCCACTTGAGAAAAAAACCGGAAAATGATAACTGATTTAATGAATAGGGAAGGAGGCCAAACATTACATGTTACATGCACTGGTACATACCGGTTAATGTACATTTGAAATCTGCACTAAAGGCACAATGTAGGCTCCATGTAATCTCAGACAGTTGGGCACCATTTTTCATTGTGTATGTATATGGCACAGTAGTTTCTACTGATTTGTTTTGCCATTAACCATGTATAATTTGGATAATTCAGCAATGGAGCACCGAATCAGAATTGAACTACTGTACATTGTACATGTACATGTACATGCATACATGCATGTACAGTGTACATTGACATGTACATGTACTGTGCATTTGTTTTAACCCTAACCCTCCTCGGTCCTCCAAAATCCTTTCAGGTGGTTTTGGAGGATTTTGGAGGATTGAGGGAGAATCCAATTTTGTCACCCCCCAAATTGGAGGATTTTGGAGGATTGAAGAGGGTCCCTAGCAAAAAGGGAAGCAAAAAGTGTTCATTCCGCATAAATTTATAAAATTTGAAAAATTACAGCTTGATTAATGTGATTTGTTGTAATAGTATACCTCAGCTGTGTGATTGTAAGGCATGCCTTGGCATTGTTTGTACCGCCCATGAACATGTACTAGTGCAGTACGGAGCGTCTAGCGTGACAAGGACAGCATGTTTATTTGACACTCTATGCCACATCTGTTTGCGATAAATTAAAATGCTCTATCAATATTTTGTTTCTACTTCTCACAGTGAGAGTTGCATTGTTTCCACTTAATTACTGTTTTGGGTCTGAATTGTCCAGAGAGAGAGAGGTAAAATTGTCAAAAAAGGAGAAAAAGCAACAATGGAATTTGAAAAAAAAGTGGGAAAAAAACTTAAACTCCAGCCTGTTTCCCTGTTTCATGTAGGGTAATGGGAAGCAGAACAGCTTTTTCAAGGGGGGGGTTACTAAAACTTCAACTTGCATCCTGCTGCATAAATGACAAATAAACTGCATACTGTACATAGTGTACATGTACATGGTACATTTACATTAATTTAAAATTACCGTAATTTAAAAAATTTTTCTTCAAATGTACACATGTACACATGTACATGTACTGAACAAACCGGTAGATGTACATATACATGTACATGAAGTGACATCTGACGTACATGTACCAGTACCTG